TATCGGGTTTTCCTTATATTGTGTCCTAAAAATTGTAAAAAACCTCCCTTTTTGGGCCGTTATAACAGCGTAAAGACACTTTTAGTTAAAAAATCTCTTATTTCATCTGAAAGTCAAACCTGTTTACTTTCAAATAAAGGTTAAACATATTCATATCTTCTTCCCGATTTTGTAACTGATTTCCTGGGGAATCATGGACTTATAATGGACATCTCTATCTATCTAATCTATCTATCTTCATCTATCATCTATCTAGCTATCTATCTAATCTATCTTATCTCTCTATCTATCCTCATCTATCTATCTATCTATCTATCTATCTATCTACTATCTATCTATCTATCTATTATCTATCTAGCTGATCTAATCTATCTATCGACTCCTGATCTATCTATCTATCTATCTATCTTATCTATCTATCTATCTAATCTACCTATCGTTACGATCGATCTAATCGTATCTAGCTATCTATCTATCGATCTATCTATCCTATCTATCTATCTATCTATCTATCGATCTATCTATCTATCTATCTATCCTATAGACGTTTTTAAATTTTTAGTCAATTACACCTTAATCGCTAAACCGCTTATTTTAAAATTTGAATGGGCATATACATATGTATGTCCGTAGAGTCCACATGGCTAATCATGGGCCTGCAACACGGACTGGGCACACACTAGTATCAAACATATATCTTATCAATATTTTATATTATTTTTTGAAATTTTAGCATTTATAGCTCACACCGTTTGTGTCCTATCCCATTTTCAACAGACGGCAGGTCGCCTAAGAATATAATAAAGTTCGATAATGTATAAAGTGGGTCTATAAGCAGAATTTTGATGCGTTAAAAGCGGAATAACACAGGCCAAAGATGAAAAAAAAACGTTTTAATCATTTTCACTAATCCCAGTGTTATTTCGTGTGCTGATTTCGAATATGAAAATAAAAATGTAGTATCAATTTCCAAATTTTATCTTTTAGTCCTTCTGTTTGTATACTTCAGTCCCAAATCTAAAATTCTGTAATATGTTAACCCATAACCTGTGGAGGTCAAACTGAAACTAAACAATATTGAGAAATTCCCTTGGAACCATAATGAAATATTATGTTGTTTTTAACCGATTTAAATGAAACTTAGGAAAAATATCAGTTATAAAATTATCGAGGTTTGAACTCACTTTTCTCTATTAAAAGGTTAGATACTTTCAAATAATGCAATAAATTTTTGTTAAGAAATAACAGAATGATTATAAAATGAGTTTAAGCTCGTTTTACCAATTATATGATTATTTACAATATGTATTACCGCTAATTAAACATTTATAGAGTTTAATTTTGCACAATAAAGTTAATTTTTGGTAAAAAATTGAAATTTTTCCCAATTTAAATATTCGTGACTGTAGATTAAAAACAATATGATTAGTTCCTTCGTAATAATATAATCTTTAAATACTGACTCAGTATCACTTAGAGAGTGAGTTTAAATTATATGTCAAAGTTTACTTGAACTTTTTAGAGAAAATAAACAACGAAAAATATCTTTAAATTTAAATAGAAAATAATATTGTAATTGCACTGCGTGTGTTGGACATTAAATGCAAATGCTATTATTATTTTGATTGCTTCCAAAACAAACCTTCAAACATATTTAAAGCATTTATTTGTTTGTGAAAATATTTTCAACGAAAAACTACAATTGTAACAAAAAGCAGCATATGTGTTTTAGAAAAAAATTAAACAAATAAAAAAGTGGGGTTATATTTGGAAGAAGCTATGAATTTTAGACCCAAGACATGCACTATTCTATAGAACACTCACTTCATTAGTCTGTGGACTAGTCTATTGACTATTCTATCGACTAGTCTTTGAATTAGTTTATGGGCTAGTCTGTTGATTATCAATATGATTAGTCTTTTATATATTGAATAATCTATTGACAATCTTATAAACAATTGTTTGATTAGTCTATTGACTATTATATCGCTTTTTATATTGGCTTTTGACTTTCACATGGATCAGTTTTTGGATTAATCTTTGTGCTAGTCGATAGACTACTCTTCGTACCAATATATGGTATAGTAGATTGATAAGTCTATGTTTATTGATTAGTCGATTGACTATTTTATTGTTTAGTCGATTGACTATTCAATAGACTAGACTTTTGATTAAACGACTGATTATTCTATGAACTAGTCTATTGACGTGTTTATTAAATAGTCTATTGACTATTCTATCGGCTAGTCTATTAACTTGTCTTTTGACTTTTATAGTCTTTTTACTTGTCTTCTAACAATTCTATCGGCTAGTTTTAGCTCATTAGGTATATCTACTTGTCTTTTGACTAGTATACTGACTATTCTATTGTCTAGTCTTAAGACATACACTATTCTATAGAACACAATTTTTTATAGTCTGTGGACTAGTCTATTGACAATTCTATCGACTAGTCTTTGAATTAGTTTATGGACTAGTCTATTGACTATGAAATTGATTAGTCTTTTTACTAATCTATTGATTAATCTACAGACTAGAATATTGAATAATCTATTGACAATCTTAAGACAATTGTTTGATTAGTCTATTGACTATTATATCGACTAGTCTACTGACTATTATATTGGCTTTTGACTTCCACATGGATCAGTGTTTGGATTAATCTTTGTACTAGTCGATACACATCTCTTCGCACTAATATATGGTATAGTAGATTGATAAGTCCATGTTTATTGATTAGTCGATTGACTATTTTATTGATAAGTCGATTGACTATTCAATAGACTAGACTTGTTTATTAAATAGTCTACTGACTTGTCTTTTGACTTTTATATTGACTAGCCTATAGACTAGTCTATTGACTGCTCTATTGATTTTTTTATATTATATTGAATATTCTAATGACTAGTCTTTTGACTTGTCTTCTAACTATTCTATCTGCTAGTTTTTGATCATTAGTTATATCTACTTGTCTTTTGACTAGTATACTGACTGTTCTATTGTCTAGTCTTTATGTAGTCTACAGACTAGTTTAAGTACTGTTCGATTGAATAGTCTTTTGACTAATCTATTGACTATTCTATGGATGTCTTTTGACTATTATATCAACTAGTCTTTTGTCTAGTCTATTGACTATTCTATGAACTTGTCTATTGACTAATCTATAGACTATTCTATAGTTAATTGACTAGTCTTTTAATTATTATATCGACTAGTCTATAGACTGGTCTTTGGACCAATTTCTTGAATAGTATGTTTAACTATTTAGTTTATTGAATATTCTATAGTCTATTTACTATTCTATACCTAGTATTTTGATTAGTTTCTAGACTATTCAATATCTAGTCTATTGGCTAGTCTTTCGACTAGTCTATTGACTATCATATCGACTAGTCTTAACTAGTCTATATACTACTTTTCGCACTAATATATGAACTAGTATATTGACTGTATATGGACATTTTAACTACATATTTTATGGATTAGTCGATTAGCTATTATAGACTTAATTGGCTATTATATTGGCTAGTCAATAGACTAGACTATTGGTTAGACGACCGACTATTATATGAACTAGTCAAGGGTCTAATCTAATCTATCATGACTTTAAAAAGGTACATATGTATCTTTAGAAATTTTTAGGGTTGTTGCAAATCCAATAATGTTAGTATAAAGCCGCTTGTAGGTACTTCTGATGGAGGTCTTTAAACAATGTTGTTTGTTGTCAGTAGGGTCAAATCTGCGCTGAAAGTCATTTGTTTAAATTATTTAAATTTCTGTTTATCATATACATACATAAAGGTAGTTAGTTCTTTGCTAAATAGTTGTTTATATTTTACCATAAATTTCCACATATGTATGTACCTAAATGATATACATATTTATACGTATGTATGAATGTATTGTATATATAAGAACCTCTATTATATAATAAGTAATAATCGTAATAATCATAATAATCATGTTACTCGTCGTACTTATTATTTGATTGTATCATGAGGATTGATTTGATTTAAGTGATAGATGAGGTTGTTTGCAACTGTTTGTTGCTTTTTAAATCTATTTTTTTTCAGGGGTTACTAAGTCCGACCTGTGGGGGCTTTTAATATACATATGTATTTGCACTCCTCATCACTATCATCATCTTTATAGAGGGTGTTATTTACAAACACACATTTGATTTTGGTTTATGATTATGATTTTGTTTTTAGTTTACTTATCATTATTGTTTTAGTTTATTTCTTCTTTTCAATTTGATTTAATTTGCAAATGCAATAACAATGAAAACTATAGAATTGTTGTACGTTTGAATAAGTGGCATAGTTATAAGTACCTTAATTTTCTATTTTATTTTGTTTAGGAAAAATTTACAAAAACACAAAAAAATAAAACAAATCAAAATTTTTGTGTAATTTATTCATATGGTTGTTTGACCGTTAAATTGAAAATAATTGTGTGTATTTGAAATGAATACTTAACCTTGATTAAAATAAAAATTACCCTTTTAGGTTTAGCTAAAGAGAGAGACATTTTTTTTGTTAAAGTAATTTATTTAATAAATTATTAATAAGAAATAGGCAAAGATAAGAGGAGAATTAGAACTTTAAGATACTGGTTGTTAGTTGCCCTTAATAATAATTTAGTTGTTAAAAATTGTACTTTACCTAAATGGAGTTTTAAATATGAATGAGAACCTATACAAGAGAGAAGGTATACCCCACAATAAAATGGCCGCAATAAAATCCAAGTTGAAACCTTTATGTTTCCAAAATTTATAATAAATTTATAACACATATTAATTCTTTAAACTTCCGCTTAAGAAAATGCACAAACTAAACAAAAAATACGCAAAAGAAAAGTAAAATTTTGCTCATTAAATAGTTAGTGTGAAGGTTATAAAAATTACAAAAAAATACAAATTAACACCAACTGAAGATGCAACTACAATTGCAATATTGGAAAAAGCTATAAATAAACGGTATTCAAACACACAAAACACT